CACAGAGGTGATGGGGGAGTCCATCACGGAGGGTGGGAGCGGGGGGACAGAGCTCTTCCTGAAGTCCACAATCATCTCCACTGTCTTCTGGGCGTTCAGCTCCAGGTTATTACCACTGCACCAGGACACCAGCCGGTCCACCTCCCTCCTGTAGGAGACACCAGGACACCAGCCGGTCCACCTCCCTCCTGTAGGCGGACTCATCGTTGTTGGAGATGAGTCCAATGAGGGTGGTGTCGTCCGCGAACTTGATCAGCTTCACGGAGTCGTGGCTGGAGGTGCAGTGGTTGGTGTACAGGGAGAAGAGCAGGGGAGAAAGAACACAGCCCTGTGGGGCTCCTGTATTTATAATCCGAGAGTCCGAGACATTCTTCCCCAGACGCACTCGCTTCAAAGTTCACCGCACGTTTGCGTTGACAGCGCACATACGCACGCAACATTAATCCTGGTTCACACGACAACTTTAAAATTGTCAGCCAATTTTCAAAACTTGAGAGACCCCACACGCTGAGATAAACATCAAGGGTCTAACCACTTTGATTGTACTGTGTGTGGTGTGCAGCCACAAGGAAGAGTCACGCAAACACCCGTATCACACACGAACCGATTTCACTCCCGAGCGTTCCCAGGTCAGACGGGAAATCTCGCATAATCTGTTGATCAAGCGTGACTTCAGAGTTAACAATCATGGCAGACGAAGAGGATGCAGTGGCGATAGTTTGCAGTTTGTTTTTAACAGAAAAGTAAAATATATATTTATATATACAGTACAGACCAAAAGTTTGGACACACTTTCTCATTCAATGAGTTTTCTTTCTTTTCATGACTATTGACTGTAGATTCACACCCAATCCAGGTGGTTTTGGGGTGAGCCGGAACACAGAGTGAGGGAGAAAGGGCCAACAATTGCTCTGGGAACTCCTTCAAAACTGTTGGAAGACCATTTCAGGTCACTACCTCTTGAAGCTCATCAAGAGAATGCCAAGAGTGTGCAATGCAGTAATCAGAGCAAAATGTGCTACTTTGAAAAACCTAGAATATAAGACATTTTTTCAGGTGTTTCATACTTTTTTCTTTAATTCCACATGAGTTAAAGCTGCACTAACTGACTTTATTTTTGTATTCCTTACGAAAATGCTATCCATGTCCATGCAGTGCATTGGGATAAACGTCCTTTTGAAGAAAAATTAGCACAGGTTTGTGCTGGCGTGACATTATATTTTAGATCGAGTTTTGATGAAACAACGAAGAGAATGTGTTTCGGGTCGCAGATTGTGACCAATCACAGTGCATCACTAGCCCCCACTTTCGTGAGAAATCTACAGGTCCGTTAGCATAGACGGCTGAGTTAGCACAACAAGCGGCGGAGCTAACCTGGAGCTTCCGTGTTCCGTGTGCAAATCCACATATATTATGCATAATGGGAGAAGCTAGCTCTGTAAACAACAGTGGCTTTGCGGTAGCGGGGGGTGATAGCTTCGTGGGTGCGGGGGGGAGGAGAAAGTGCGAGGCCAGAGGGTCCTCTGCTTCAAAATCCCAAAGTCAGTTAGTGCAGCTTTAAAGTGGACATATCGTGTTTTCAAATAATTTATTTTTACATCTAAATAATAATTTGTGGCCTATATAAAGCGTAACTGCAATGCCTGGGTCTGAGTCTCATTATTTGTAGCTCCACGGGCCTTTCTTCTACACCTGCTCTGAGGTGCGTCTGAGAAAAACCTGTTTTGGTGCTGTCTCTTTAAATGCAAATGAGGCGCTTTTGACCACGCCCCCATCCAGGTGACACAGGTTCAACTCCACCCCGAGCGGCCATTTTTTTAGTTTCTAAGCACAGATACAATTATCTCATAGAAACTTCTCATTACATCGCAAACATGAAGCAGTCCTTCCTCATTGACTGAAAGCAAATGTTAATTTTCATTCTTAGTCCAGTCTTATTATCGACTCTTCTCTTTTTAGCTTTGGGATCCATGTGCACAGTCTATGATGCTCACACGCCGGTTTGACAGACACGTTGACAGAAAATTTTAAATTGAATATTACTTATGCACAATTTTACAGCATTTAAAAACGTTAAGAACGTTTTTCCTTCTACAGAAGGAAAAAGACGCATGCGCCTCTGGAGCCGCAGGTTGCCGACTCCTGGTTTATACAGTATGTGGAAGCAAATACTGTAGAGGATCAGGATATGTGCAGTCCGGCCCAAATATGGGCATCGGCCCTTTGGGCATTGCCCGGTACGCCCGGTGGCCAGTCCAGCCCTGTGTGCTGGCATCCTTGAGCTTGGACTACGAATTCGAAGTGATGCACAGTGGAGGAGGGCTGGGCCGAAGTGTTTTGTTAGACGCCCATGCCCTTATATGGCAGTCTCGCTGCAAATACTGTGACGTAATAATTCTAAACACGTAAAAGAGAATGGCAAAATCAGAGCGGGTTGAAAAATCTTACCTAAACAGAATATGAATTGTTCTCTGCAACCCATGAAGAGACTGATTTAAACTTTTTTGCACTTCTAGAGGCTCCAACTACACAACATAAGGCATTTAAGGCACAAAAAGTGGATTTTTCATGATATGTCCCCTTTAATTCATTGTTTTGATGCCTTCAGTGTGACTCTACAATTTTCATAATCATGAAAATAAAAACTCTTTTGAGAGTGAGACATTGTACATTCTTTGACTATGACTAGGGCTGGGGGATAAACTGATTTTAATTATTAACTTGAATTTGACGTTTAGGGCGATTTCTTTTTAATGAAAATCGATTATTTTTTCAGCACGGAGCTACAGTGCTAACAAGCTAACTGCGGGTGTTGAGTCATTTTGAAAACCCCCTAATGCTGAAAAGTTTTGAAGAATTCAACCGGATAACCATCTGCACCCGGGGCTTTGAGATTGCTCATGCTTCGTAAAGCAAGGAATAGTTCCGGGACAGTCAATTCCGAATCTAATAGAGCAGCCGATTCCTGGTTCAAGATAGGAAAATCAAGGTCATCTAGAAAGTTATTCATGTCTCTCACATCTGAAGAAAATTCTGAACTGTACAGAGTCTTGTAAAAAGTAGAAAAAACTGTGTTAACAGATTTAGGGTCCTCCACCACAGCACCTGTATTATCTTTAATATGCGGTATTAATCGAGAGGATGCCTGACGACGCAATTGATGAGCTAATAATCTTCCTGACTTCTCACCATGTTCGTAATATTTAGTGCGAGAATGCAGTAGTAAACGCTCTGCTTCAGATGTTGTGATAAGGTCCAAGTCAGTTTGTAAAACCACTCTACGCTTCACTAAGTTTTCACATGGGGTCACTGCTAATTGTTGATCAATGGATTTTATCTCAGCGGATAACTTCTTTACCTTTGATTCTCTTATTTTTTTTACGTGTGCGGAATATGAAATAATTTGGCCCCGCAGGTAGGCTTTTAACGACTCCCACAGCAAAGCTTTAGAGATGGGGTAAGACTCTGATTGATTAAAAGAGATGAAATCGTCTATCGCCTTAGTAATAAATGTACAGAATTTGTCATCTGACAACAAGGAGATATTAAATCTCCATGGCAATGAGTAACGGGGACCCTGTGAAATCTGAATATCCATCGAAATTGGAGAGTGGTCCGATATAATTATTGGATGGTATGTTATGTCTTTAACCTTAGGCAAAAGTTTGGCATCTATGAAGAAATAATCTATACGAGAGAAAGTATGATGTACGTGAGAATAAAAAGAGTACTGTCTACTATAGGGGTTGCGAGATCTCCATGGATCAACATAGCCTCCACTGGACATGAAAGAGGAGAGCGTTCTAGCCATTTGGGAATGGACAGAGCTAGGCCTGGAGCGGTCTAAAAGTGGGTTAACTGAGCAATTCATGTCCCCAGCAAATATCAAATAATAATTATCGAGTGAAGGCAGACTTCCAAACAATCTATTCATGAACCCTGGATTGTCAAAGTTTGGTGCATATACATTAACCAGTATAACTGGAGAGTTAAAAATAGTGCCCAAAACAATCAAATACCTGCCGTCTCTATCAGAAATGGAATTAGTTAGTGTAAATTGAACAGATTTACCAATCAAGATGGCAACCCCCCTGGCGTTACTGTTGAAGTTAGAATGGAAGACTTCAGACACCCATGGACATCTCAATCTGACCTGATCCTTATTTCTCATGTGTGTCTCCTGTAAAAAAATGACATCAGGTTTTAAACGTTTCAAATGAGTGAACACTCTAGATCGTTTAACAGCACATCCCAAACCTTTAATATTCCAACTAACAAACTTAACAGACGTACCTACTGTATTGGTCATTTATAGCAATGAAAGGATTGATACTTTTTCTTTTTTAATTTATGCTTTTGCCAGCTCCCCCCAAAAAGAGAAAAAAGTATAAAAAAAAGAAAAAATAATAATGAATGAACCAAACAAAACTCACACCTCCCCTCATGCCCCCTCCCCCCACCCCCCCTTGCACCTACCAAAACCCTATCCCCAGGTGATAGGGCACCAGTGCCGACTCCACAAGGAGCCAAAAACCAAAAGGAAAAACTCAGGGCTATGAACCTGCGCATTAACCATGCAAAACTCCAAACCTAGAAGGGCTCCCGTGATATATACAAAGAAAAAAAAAAAAAAAAAAAAAAGATATATATATGTATATATAATATATATATACTTGACTAATAGGGCAAATTATCAGTAGTGGGAGAGAAACAAATTGGAATAAAAAAATAAAAACACTGTAAAGGACACATGGTCTCGGCTCAAACAATGAAAAAATAAAATGGAATAATAATTTAAAATAAATATTAATCTCCGTGTAAGCAATTATATACATACTCCAAGAAATTATCACAGTATAAAACTTACTTTAACATCAGTGGCAGAACAATGCCTCCCCATATACAACTGTGCCGTGTAAACTAACAGTATAAAATACGTTGTCATATCAAATGAAAAGCAACTTAGGTACAAAACAGTCTCACTTCAAAGTTTTCACTTTTCACAAGAGAGTTTTAACAAAGACATTGGCCTCCCCTGGAGATGTAAATTCTCTCGTGATCCCATTACTTGTAATCCGGAGACGAGCAGGGTGTACTATGCCAAACCGTATATCTGGTATGACCTTAAGCTGGCGTCGTACGTCGTTGAAGGCAGCTCTGGCTCTGGATGTGCGGGAAGTGTAGTCCGGGAATACGGAGATCACCTCTTCCCCCATCTTGATCCGCTGTTGAGCACGGGCACGCCTCAGGATGTCAACACAGTCCGCGTAGTAGTGCAACCGTGCGATTATAGGACGGGGCCGACCACCTGGTAAAGGCTGAGGAGGAGATCTGTGCGCGCGGTCAATCAGAGGTGGTTTATCCAGACCAAAAGCCTCTTTTAGCATAATCGACACCGTGTTAGCATTGATAGCACCATTTTGCTCCGAGTAACCCACAATCCTTATATTCTGGCGGCGGCTCCTTGACTCCAGGTCGTCACATTTGTTTTCCAATGCAGTAACCTGGTTGACAAGTCTCTCAACTTTAGATTGGAGTGAAACAACATCATCCGTACAGGTTGATAGTGAACCCTCCATATCCCGCACAGTCTTCTTCAGCTCGCCAACCTCCGTGCTCACGGCCGCTATGCTAACATTTAGCTCAGCTTTCACATCTCGTAGCTCCGCTTTTATTTTGGACAGATTATCTGACATAGCCATTGCCAACTCTGCTCTAAACACGTTTACCACCTCCTCACGAAGGCTAGTGAGCAGCTCAGTCTTGAAGTCTTCGGAAACTGAATCCAGAGCCGGAGGTGAGGAGGTTAGCTGCTTCGGGGCTGGATCACTCGAGGGCGAGGAAGTAGTCGCAGCACTAGGCCGCGCATGTGCTGCCGCGGAGGTGCTCAAAGCTTTAGGTTTCGGAGGCATGTCGAGAGCAAAAAAGTTCAAAAAGTGCTCAGAAGTGTAAGTTGAGTCCCACAATCAGTCACCACAGAGTAATAAAAGACCCTGGCATACAATTTTAAACGTTTTCACGGGAGCCCCCCCAAAGCACGTCTTACTCCATTAGTTGCTAAGCCGGAAGTCCCCAAAACCCCCTAATGCTAACAGTTTCCCTCTGTTCTGACCCTCGCTCTCAGTGTGACAATAACCTTCAAACATTCAAGAATCAGACTTTATTTAATCTCCAGGACACAACCACGCACGCACACACTCCGGTCACTCTGCTCATATGCCACACTTTTCATTCTTTCATTCTCATTCATTCATTTCTCAGCGCTCACGCTCGTTACTTCAAAGCGCGCTCCCGTGTCTGCCACACACACACACACACACACACACACACACACACACACACACACACACACACACACACACACACACACACACACACACACACACACACACACACACACACACACACACACACACACACACACACACGCTGCACTTTGGGGAAAGACACGTCTCACACATTACTCTCATTGCTTTGATACAAACAACGCGTTCCGTGCTCGAGCTGTTAGCTACTGTAGCTGTTAGCTACTGTAGCTGTTAGCTACAGCAGTTGTTAGCTACAGCAGTTGTTAGCTACAGCAGTTGTTAGCTACAGTAGCTGTTAGCTACAGCAGTTGTTAGCTACAGCAGTTGTTAGCTACAGTAGCTGTTAGCTACAGCAGTTGTTAGCTACAGCAGTTGTTAGCTACAGTAGCTGTTAGCTACAGCAGTTGTTAGCTACAGCAGTTGTTAGCTACAGTAGCAGAGCGTAAACGGGAAGAAAAATGGAAACTTAACTTGCACAACGCGGTAGTCGCTGAAGTTAGTATTAGCGCCACCAGCTGGACCGAGCATTGTACTACAGCACAGTTGCTCTGGCACAGTTAAAAGAACAAGCCTGAAAACTTAAGGAGGAGGCTTTTGTAACAGACTTTCTCTGTTATAACAATTGTATTTAGAGTAATCATTAGTTTTAAGAATATGATATTTAATGTAAATAATGCATGTGTTTAATACGATGGATATATTTGTTATGACCCTGATTTGTGCATTTGAAGTTATTTTGAAGGTGCATTGTGTCACTGTAAGTGAAGTTATTAGAAAACTGATAATCTACATTTTCACTGTTTACGATGGCAGGACCATCTCGTTTACAAGCATGTTTTAAGGCTTATTTCCTGTTACACCTTTGCTCCATGGGGATTTAGATTAAAATGCATAAAGGAAAATCTATTTCTTTGTCAGTTGTGGTTTGTTTTTAAATAGAAAAAAATAATTGATTAAAATCGAAAAATTGGATTTGGTGTGAAAAAATCTGATTTTTTTATTTTTTAGCTATATCTCCCAGCCCTAACGATGGCCTACATCAACATATATATATATATACACATTATTTTTTTTCATATTGTGTTGAAAAATAGGCTATATGGGCTTCCTGTAATGCAGTCACTTTTGAGAGAGTTAAACGTTCTGGAGTTATTAATCAATCCTATTTTAATTTCATTTTTGGTTCTGTTCCCTTAGGAGTCCTTTTTCATTGCCAGGACACAGACGAGTCAAAATTCAATTTCACCTCTTGTCTCCTTGACATTTGCTTCTTTATTCTGAGCAGCTGCCCACCTCACTAGCCTCTGTGCCAAGCTCCATTATGATTCGATGACAGCAAATTGATTCTATAGTGAAATGTTAATCACAACTTTTAATATTGAAAAAGTACACTGAACATGTCAGTTTAGGTGCACTGTATCAAGATTAGAATTCATGAATAGTGTTATGGAGCAGTTACCGTCGTCAAAAACTAATCTTCTTGGTGCACAAATCCCACAGAGCTGGAACAAATTGTGTGCGGTTAAACAAAAACGAGTGTATTCCCTAAAAAAAGATTCCCAATCTCCAATATACCAATGGATCAGTGCAAAACAAACAGGACGCTTTGCATTTCACACCCTCGAAGCACAAACATTTTCAAACCATGACCGCACCAAAAAGCATGACAGGATGTATTTTCAAATCTAAATCCGTTTTGTTATTTATTCTGTTCTCAAAAGTACAGGGCTTGCAACTTGTATAGTGGCCCTTACAAATAGATCTCAGATTGTGTTTGCGTTTGAGTGTTTATTCTAGAGCTGCAGCAATCGAATATTTTGGTAATCGATTATTCTATCGATTAATCGAGTAATCAAGAAAAAAAAAAGTTTTTTTTTGCCAAATTAAAAATATACAATATCAAATAAAAAGCATTTAATAATGACAACTGTTTTAAATTGTATACAGTTTATTGAATTCATATCAAATGAAGACAAGGCAGCAGCGATTGCACCTGTGCCACGGTAGATTTTAGAGTCCTTCCAGATCGAACAGATCAGATGAGGCGAATGTCTGGTCCTAAACAGGCTGTGATGGTTCACTGAAAGACGGAAAAGCAGCCGATAAATGTCAATCGCACACCCCTTCCAGATTCAATAAGTCCTATAACAAACACTGCTGAGCTCACATGTCGTGCATCTCTGCAGTATATTTCTGCACTGTACTACACTACAGCATTTTATACTTGTTTTTTTATTAAAAGTTAGAGCTTTTATTTAATGTTAGTATATCATTATTGTTCACGTCTCTTGTGCTGTGTGCTCCTCATTCCTACAGCTCTGTAACTGCTGATGGATCTTGGTCCACAGTGTTCATACCATAGACTGTATATATTAATTATATATTGTTCATACAGACCTTTTATGTACCGAGTTCAAATAACTGTTGTTGAGTAGTTTAAAACCCGTTGGCTCTAGGATTGTAGTGAATGTCAAATTAAGAAAATCATTCATAATACATTTCTCATCATGTAAAAGACCAACCTTTCTGCTTCATCACTGCGCTAACAAATGAAAGGTGGATACATTGATAGTTTACAACCTGCTGCTTTGGCAGCGTGTGACTGTTCGCGGGAAAACCCCTCCGTGTTATCATCAACATTTTACTTTCACAATGTGCCCTTTACACCATTACATGAAAGTTAACTTACCTGGTCTCGGGTCTTCCCTCGGTGCTTCCTCGTCAGGTGCGGCATCAAACTGGTGTTTTCATGAGATGGTAGCTCCACTTAGCACTGTGTGCAAACTACTCTGGTTTAGTGTTCAGAGTGAAGTGCTCCCACACTTTAGACTCTTATAAACTCTCCAGTCTTTGCCAGTGCCTTCTCCGTCGTCCTCCATTGATATTATAATAGATCAATGCATTGTCCGTGAAAAGTTTTGTCATCAACACTAGTGATGACCATGCAGACCGGTCTTCTGTGTTGAGCAGGGCACGTCACGTAAACAAGTTCACGCAACATAGACTTTCTGGCAAATCATCCATTAACATGGACAACTTATTACAATATTGCTCATCATTCAAACTCAAAAAGGAATGGGAAGAAGAAAAAAAAAGATAAATTCCCACCCTGTTGAACATCACACCAGAGCCAGTAGTAAAGTATTGAGTAGAAATGGCAACATGCAGCACAGTGACCCCAGCCAATCCCGACGCAGCAGGCACCAGAGCAGCAACAAACCAGCAAAACACCAAAGTCTTGAGCCAGAACTGCACGCACCCTACCTGATCCCGCCACTGTGTCACCGCCGAGCTGCGTCTCCGCCCGGGGTGAGCCTGTGGAAGGTCTACACTGGGCTCCCTTCCTTGACTTTTGTTTGCGATGAACATGGCTTTTGCCCCCCACCACAGCACTGAGACTGCTCTCGTCAAGGTTACAAACGATATCCGGCTGAACACTGACGCAGGCAAAGTCTCAATCTTAATCCTGTTAGATCTAAGTGCTGCCTTTGACACTGTCGACCATGAGATCCTCTTACAGAGATTAGAGGACTGGGTTGGCGTCGCTGGCACCGCCCTAAGTTGGTTTAGGTCTTACCTTGAAGACAGGAAGTACTTTGTGGAGATTGGAAACTGTGTCTCAGATCATATGGCCCTGACCTGTGGAGTCCCACAGGGGTCGATCCTGGGACCTCTTACAATACAATACAATACACAATACAATTTATTCTTGTATAGCCCTAGGTCACAACAGAAGTCATCTCAGAGGACTTAACAAAACCATTGAAATCACCAACACAGGTCAGAGAATCAACAGTTAAAACACATGAAGAATATAAAGCACACACAGAAAAAAATGTCCATACATGTTGTAGAATGCTAAAGTGTCCTGATCATCAACAATCCTTTCTGTTGGACACTAACTATCCAACAAGACCCCCCTGCATCGACAAGGAAAAACTCTTAAAAAACCCAGTGGGAAAAAGTGAGAAACCTTGGAGGAGAACTAGGGAAACCCACAGGGAGGGAGACCCATATGAGAAAGGGATCCGCTCCTCCGGACGGACAGGCTAATGATCTAGGACCTAAGCTAGCTACAGAACGTGGACCAGTGGACGCTGAACGTGGACAGGTCCGGTGCAGGACTGAAGCACTCCCAGGGGGTCGGGCGGGGCAGTCCGCAGGTGTAGATGGAAGAGGCCAGGCTCAGAGATCCCGTCATCGTACCATGAAACAGACAATGGGACAACGGGTGAATAGCAATGAACAAACTACAGTCAGAATCCTAAAAATGCTAAACAGATAAAGTAAAGTAGGAAGGAGGAGAGGATAGTGCTCAAGTTACCATACTTCTCCCAGCAAACTGACTCCCTATGCAGCTTGACTAACACTCTGAGGAGTTTAACCTTCTCCGAGTCTTACCTTCCTAGCCATATGCTAAACTAAAGAGGACTGTTTTAAACCTAGCCTTGAATAAAGAATAACATACAGCATAATATATAACATAATATACAACATAACACAATACATTATTGAATAATATATAACATAATATATAACATAATACAGCATATATATATAATATATACACTACATATTATATATTACCTAATTATATGCTAAAT